TTTCTCTTTTTGAATGTGAAAATATAAGAGGAAACATTTCTGGAAAATTTAAATTTAGACAAATTCAAAATCTCTGTCACAAACCTCTGCCTTAATTACCTCTGTCATCACTGTGGTCAAATAATGACGCCAAATGTAAAGTTTAATTATTCATTTTTTTCCCTGCATCTCAAGTGAGCAGTTGTCATGACGTCTGTCATGGAGTGAGATATTAAACTATTCACCATGCATCATGCTGCTAAAAGTGTATTGAGGAATCTGAATTATGTGAATATGAGCCAAGCTGGAGAAATACCATCCGGTAATTGTCGCTGCGGCCAGGAGTGAGCGTGTCTGTATATATACACACCAAGATTTCAAATTGAAATCTACAGTTAAATGCATGGCCAATTGTGTATGTAACAACATACCCAACCACCACAAACACAATACTCGGTCAAAATTGTCTAATGACAGGGGGTGGGACACCGCACTATCAGGGTCTTTGAAAGTGGAATAACCAAGGCTTCAATTTACGGTCTGCTTTTAAATATGATAATTATGCACTTATGGAACCCATTCTCTGATAACGGAGCTAGTACTTTATAGAAGAGAAGTTTACTTCCATTTAGGCATACAAGCCTAACCCATGGTCTTTTGATTATCCTAGGTCTATTCCTAAGATCTGATAACCTTGAAAATAAATTGTCAAAAGCTTGCGGCAAACTGACTTCTTATTAACTGAATTTTCAAAGAAATGCTTTCAATATTATATGTCATGTCTGTGTAAGATGACTGGTAAGGCCAAAAAAAAAAAAATTCGGTCTCTGGTCAGACCAAAGTTCCGGAATTGACGCGGCCACGCGGCTTTTTTTTTTTTTTGGCTTTTTTTTTTTTCCTTCAAGCTTGGATTGTACAGACAAGGTGGGGTACTATTTTGCTTTTTTGGTGTCCTCATGTACATTGTTGTCCTCCATGATTTGCCTTGGTGCTTTCGATCATTTGCCTTGGTGCAATTTCCGCTTCCTTGGTGCTCTTTGGTAAAAAAAAAATTGAGGAGGTGCGGAAATAGAGGGCGCTGTTGGAGCTACCGCGGAACATTTTGGAAAAAAAAAGATCGACGCGCATGATTAAAATCGACGCACACGCGCTGACCAGAGACTGACTTAATTTTTTTTTTGGCCTGATATTAGTGTAAACCACAAATTACATGTACTGTGGATAATTAGTTGCTTTTTAATTAATCACCAAATCCTGGTAATATTGTAGTTTACTAAACTGATTCCTAACCCAGTTCTGTACTTGAATGATGCCGGAATATGCAGAAAAAAAAGACATTTCAGAAGAATTTGATAAACAGCAAAATAGAAATCTGAAGAGCCCTCTGGGCAGTAATTTTGAAAAGGAAACAAAAACAAAGGGGTGACTTGAATGAATGAATGAACACACACAAACTAAATGACCTCACAAGTAAGTGTAGGGCACAGAACACTATCAGGACGTGGGTGCTAAGGCTGGAGCAATGTGCAAAACTAACAGAAACTGACATTGAAATTGTAAAAAAAACGGGGACTAGATTGTTGTTGTAGCCATGTTTGCAGTCAATACTTGTTCCATTTTAGCGGTATTAAAGAGAGCTAGAATCCATATAGGCTGATGTTGAGAGCCGGATGAGAGTTTGAGTGATTTTCAGTGGTCAGACTATCCTTGGCAAGGCAGATTAGATGTCCCAGCCCAACTTAATTCCTTTTTTATTGACCATTTTAATGATGCATCAAATAGACCATCAGTGACTTTGGGCTTGATTCGGCCCATTGGGAATTCAGCATTGCAGATATATTGCCGATCTCTTTCCAAAACCAATTTCCTGTGGAGCTTGTACCGTTCCGTATCGTAGCAGGTGAAAGTCAGAGCAGGTTCAGTTATGTCCCTACACGTTGTGCTGTACGATTGGGTTTCAAATCACACTTGCATCTCACATTTTCTTTGACCTCTTTCAATTTTTTCCTTTAGTCCGGCAATTCAGTGTATTTCAAGTTTAAAGCAAGAAAAAAATGCAGTCGAAGCTGTTTAACATAAAAAGTCCTCATCAGAATTTGGTCAAGATCAATGAATCAATCCAGAAGTGGATGTTGGAAGTGTATTGCTTCATCTGTGCCAGTTATGAGAAACACATCAAAAATGAAAATAAAGAACATTTTGCAGTTGTTTCTGAGCAACACTAAGGAAGTCATAACAAGCATTACGAAGCAGTACCAAGCTGATACTGATGCCATGGTTTCATGTTGTATGTTGCTGGGTAGTAGGCCAGCATGACACTGAGTAACAGGACCATGCGGCTTACTTTCCATCTTGTCCTGGTATGTCAGAACACATGGCAACACCTGGACTTGGCATTCTTGGCAAAAGTGACAATTATGAACTTATTACCCATTCCACAGAGCTCTGAGTTCCAGAAACCATGCAGGTTACATCAAGGAAGGACATCACATTGTTTATACAGTTCTCAAGTCTAAGTATTCTAGCTTTAAACCAAACTTGGTTACATTATTAATGTATGGACTCTGAAAGGTTTCTGGTATGCACACGCGTTGGCAAAATTATAAAAAAAAAACCTTTAATGTAACATGATGTCTCAAAACTGCCAAACTCACTGGTTTGACTGGAATCCTGCTGCTGCACAATTTTAACGTGTTTTTAGATGGGGTTACGATCGAGTATATTATTTCATGTGGCCTCTCTGGGCTCCCATATATTGTGCACTAAATTTAGTCGGGCTCATTTTGCAATCATCTGCAACATCAGCCGACATTTGAAGCAAAAAAGTATTTAAAAAAGAAAAAAGCCACGTCGCAGCACCACTTTTGGGGCAAGCTCCATACCAGAAACTGAAGACTTTTTTGGGGGGCCAGAGATACACACACCTACATCAGTGATAGTGGTGGTAATCCCACATTTTAAAAATCTAATTTAAGGTTAAGTAAAGATTCGTTTTGTACAAGAGAAGAAATTAAATTGACCTTGAATGAAATTCTAAGACTGCAGGTCCACGTGACCTGTCTAGCACTGATGTTGTAAAACTCACTTAAGAACTTTCCACTGTAACTTAATTTACATGAAGAATGAAATCGTCTGTTGAAAAGAAGATTGTAAAATGTAAGTTAAGCATGTTGTTTTCATTTTATGGGTGCATGTAAATAATACAAGTGTATGTGGCCATTTAAATTGCACATCGTGGTTTGAATTACAAGGAGGCTGCATGTCTGAATTATTCATAAAAGGAAGCCAAGCTGGTCAAATAAAGCCAGGTGTCGCAGCTACTTGGAAATGTCATGACTACAGAGGGACACATTGACCTCCATTATAGAAAGAGCCTTCCTATACATTCATGTATGCAAACACATGTGGAAAGTTTCATATCAGTTTTGTATCAAAAAGAAATTTCCTTTGCAATTGAGGAAGTGGAAAATTCTAGAGATGTGTGCTGTGTGACAATGGAGGAGTAAGAAGAGAGGCTCCTTTGTATGTATTTTATATATCACACATGTGAAGTGCTGCAGCTTGTCACTATAACAATGGAGGAATGAGAACACATTCCTCCATGCTATAACCCATGCTACTTGCTCTCTCTATGCTGTTTCACTTTCGCTTAGAACAATACATGTAAGTTGTTATTTGAATGACACATCAAACAAACAAAGAATTGCCCAAGTTACTTATGGAATAATTACCATACAAATTTGTTAGAAGAAAAAAAAATCAAATTTGTCGAAGAGTATGGGAGAGCATGGGGAAGGGGCGAATGAAACTGCTTGACATATACTCTACAGTTCAACAACACCACGTTTCTTTGCAATTTGCTTGTTAATCCAGCTTTGGAAGATTTCCAGAAAATATGGTCATTGCTCCCTTGCAGTATCCAAAAAGCGGGAAAAAAATTAAGAAAATAAATTGTCGGTTCTCATTAGTCGTTTGCGTTGTAGTTCATTATGATGAGGTCATTGCATTTATTTGGTGGTTTGATTAACCTTTCCTGCTACTACTTGTAATTTGACAGGGCTCTTGATAAAGTGCAATACTCCCTGAATTAATACATGACAAATTTGGATGGAGAGAGGAAATTGATTTTTGATGGCTTATAACAATGCATTGTGTGGGAGCATTTCATTTTTGTTAGGAGTACATAGAAAGCAGACAAATGAAGCAGTGACCATGAAGCAACATTGTGATTCAAGGAGGCAGTTCAGCTGGCTGTGTTTGACAGCTTTACCAATAAAGCCAATAATATCCCACACACTGTGGATAAACAATGTATTGAATGGGCGGACTTACCCAAGTGTGGTAAATAGGATTGGAGTTTGTTGGCGACAGAAGAATCAGGTCGGTTTGGCTTCTATGGCCAGCTTACCAAGCCCATGTGTGTGTGTGTGTTTTAATAATAAGATTTGATGAGAGTTGTGGTAGTTTGCCTTGAGCAATGTGCTAGGGTAATGCATTGGAGTAGGTAGTAACCTGCGGGCCATCTGCCTACCTAGATGCACCTTCTGCTGCTAGTCCTTCCTCCCTCCACTGACTGCCAGGCATACTGGCCCACAGGTTGTTATATCTATGGCTTACTGCCTCCATGAAAATCTAAGAACCATCCAACCTAATATCGCAACTCCTCAAGGCCCAGCAGTTTTATACCTTATGCAAATATTTAGCAACACTTACAGTTTATTGTTTAAAATGATAACAAAGTGAATGGCCATTCTAAACCTGGCTGAAAAGTCTGTTCAATAAAATGAAATAGACCTGGCTATGACGACTAGAGGGAAAGCTGGAACACACCCCGATTAAAAAAAAGGTCCTCGGGATATCTCAAACCATTCATTTCTAGATGTACTTTGACTTGACCAGATTTCACGGCATAAGATACTGTGCGGATATGTCCCTCAATTGCTACCCATACCCTATTGGGTTGCAGTGGTAGAGTCCAGGCGCAATCTGTTGTAAGCCTTAAGACATTTACCAGGTGTGTGGCATGGAGTAGGGCTGTGTCCATATCACTGGCTGGGTGAGACCACTGTGTGTGCTCAGGCTTTGTGCAGCAACTGGCTGGATTGGTAAACACCCTGCACTTGATTACAAGTTGGTGTAGCTGGAGGTGCTGGCCGTAACCAGTGCACTTCCAGTCAGACCTTTGGCAGACAGGATTCATAGCCAGTGTGAAAACTGATTTAGGGATTTCTATTTGGATCAGTTATGACAAACCAAGAGTTTTCTTTTCATTGGTCTATTCACTTCACATCTTACTCCTGATTGAAGGAAGTTTGAAGTGGACAGATTATTGGCGGTGATTGCCCACCATCAAGTAGTATTGCAAGTCTTATCAGTATCAGCGATGGGATTGGCAGCTAGCTGACTCCAAGCATGCCCACAGCTAGGATATTGGTTAATACTCTTCAGATGAAGTAATCAAGAAGTACAAGTTTGTGGGATACTGATTAGTATATGAAATATTCTGTTTGGTTGATTGATGGTGCCTTACCTGTGGATTATAAAGTGCAGTTAGCAGCGTGTGCAGATAAGATGAGGAATGTGCTGTTTTCATCAATTGTCTTTTTGACACTTTCATATGGTGGTAAGTTTGATCATAAATTCTAGAATAGATAAGATTAGTTTGTACTCAATGTCAATGCTAAATGCAAAAGGAATTCAACATTAAAACAGCACAAAGCAACAAATCCTAACAGAGTTTGGCACTCCCAGAGTTGAAATGTGTTCTGTTTTTGAGAGTCACATGCGCAAAGAAAAGCAGTGATAAGTGATGACATTCATTGCCTTTGCCATCTGTATGAATTGGCCCTAGATTTTGGATGATTTTGGATGAAATACTAACTTACTAACATGACTTATTAGAATTAAGAAAGATTTTACATGCTTTATGCAAAACATGTCTTAAAATTAGTCACAATTTCCTTATTTTTTGTAATCAATCTTTTACCAGCTTTGTTTAAAAAAGAGTACGTTTCTAAACCATGGTTTCTCTTCCATGTGTTGGTGATGGGTTAATTAAAGTACATTCTGAACTGATTTTTTTTCTATTTCTGTTATTGATTTCAGAAGAATAGTAATAGTCCTAAATTTACAAAAGGTTGATTTAAGGTTTTTTCCTGATAAATCAGTTACTTTTGAAGAAATGACTGATGAAATGATTCTTAAACAGAAACATTTTGTTAGCACTGTACTTGAGGAAATACAAACTAAAATGTGATTCCAAAGAATTCGAAAAATAAAGTACTCCATATGCAGCACTTGGTGCAGTGGTGGATTCTTGTAGAAGTACTGATCTTTTGTCTCTGTGTGGATCCCAAGCCCGGCGCCCGTGGATCGGCAGTATGCTACTGATGAAATAACCCTGTTATGGGTTGACTCACATCCAACCAACCATTCAAGCATTGGTGAGAGAGTCCATGCGGCCGGCCGTCTAGCATGTATCCACTTTGATCATGTTCAAACCTCAAGACAGTGACTCACAAAGCACTAACATCATCAGTCTATCCTTAGGATAAGTGTTCATTTCACAAATGGTAGCATGGGGATTACCTGTGTTTGGTCAGGCATCTCTTCACGACACAATCTTGATTCATTTTGGCGTATCTTATGCCATGAACATGACGAATGAGCCTTGTTAAAAAACGGGGAAAATATCTCATTATGCAGGCAAAAGACGGTATTGTGTTTGGAGGGATTGATCAGTGCAAACAGTGCAGTATTGGGTAACCATTTAAAAACTGACTGGTAAATTTAGATGGTTTGTTTAACTTTGATCCATATTACAACATGCAAACAATTGAACTTTCAACAGTTTAACTTCCTTTACAAATGATGTTCACATGTACATTTATGCATAGTAATACTAAGAAACATTGATGTCTACAACAGGTTTTCAAAATATTGTTCATGTCAGTCAGGACTTTTTAAATAAGTGCAATATGTTAAGTATACATTTCAACAACATTGGATACTGTTCAAGTTTTTAAATGGTACCTTTTAACCCAATCTGCCCTCTAGTTTTATTTTACTGAGAATCAACAAGGTCTTCAAACTTAAGTCGCTCAACTTATTTCATTTTTGAAATGAGTTTTCAATCTGTAAATTTTATTTAAAAGCTTCTGTTCATCGATGTTGATATTTTCAACCCTCAGAAACTATGCTTTTATTTGTGGTTGCTTTTGCACCTGCACAAAAGATACTCCTGAATTATTGCCCAGCTGCAAATTATTCAACATTTATCAAGTAAAAATTTGGTAACTTTATGTTGACAGATATTTTTGTTCAATGTCTCATGCCAAAGTGAATGTTTTTAAAAAAGAAAAGCTACTTTTTTTCTGGTGAAACTTGAAGTTGCACAGGAGAGCATCTTGAATGTGCAAGGCGTTTGAAGCACCTTAGTTCTTGACCACAGTCTGGGAAGTTTAAGTGGTAGAACTGTACAATTCAATGTGTTCAATGTTTTCACTGTGACGATGGGGCAATCTTATGTTCAGTGCCTATCCTATCTCCTACATCCATGCAAGCTTTCACTGGGACAGATGAAACCTTTAAGTGATTGGTACACTTTCTAACCATTTGCTAAATGTTCACCAGATTTATCATGAGTTCCTATCCTTATTTCCATCCTTACCTAGCCCGTTTCTAAAAACAGTGGACATCTTCCATATTGAGCCACACAGTGATACTTGCTAAATTTCCTGAAAACATACGTTCCCTGAATTTGAAATCTAGACGTTTTTTCCATTTACTTAGCTGGTTAAAAAGCAGGCAAAATCAAATTCCAACCTACAGACGTCAAAATCCTGTAGTAATATCTTACAGACTTACTCAAATTTCCCCTCAAAATTGCAGAATTTTAACTAAATGTCTACAGGTAGAATGTTTGATTTCTCCCGCATTTTAACCAGTGGAAAAACAGTATGAATTTCTATTCAGGGAACACAATTATCTTAATGCCTTGCTGTGTGGCTCAAATTACAGAGGAAGTCTAGTATTTGAGATAACACTGTGCAATACTATCAGTTTCCTTTGTTAAATCTTATTGAATTTTGTTCAGAGCAGTTCCGGGAAAAATTCAGGAGTGGCAAACTATTAAAAAGAATGTCTTAGTCATTTGGGTGGAAGCAATTTTAGGGAATCTGTGAATTTTGAATGATGGACACTTATAAAGAAAACTGCCATGAATTTAATAGCACTGTGTTGAGTTGGTGTACGCAAACATTCCTCCTGGATTATCCACTTGCATAAAATCCTGCCTCAACCCTTCTATAGGTTTGTTTAAGAGTTCTTGTAAACATGTTGCAATGGGATTAGTGAGTGTGTTTGTGTGGGTTGTATTATAACTGTAATGAGGGAGTGTTGGCACCACTCCACTGCAGATAAATCCCTCTTAACCTAAGCCACTGACATAATAAAAGCAAAAAAAAGCAGTGCAGAAAGATTCATCATGTCAAATAGGATTACATGATAACTAATCCTATCTCATTAAAGAGCAAAGCATATTACATGCTTAATGCCATTATGATTGTGTTTTACTATAAGAGCTTTTTGGGTGAACGTGCCAGATAAGAGGATGAGGTGGGGTTAAGTAGGCCAACAACATTTCCAAAAAGGTCTGCGATATTTATAAAGCCAGTCACTTCAGCAAGTCTGTCACCGAGATATACTGAAAGGAATGCGTTATAACCAATTATTTCATGCAAGACGGATCACAGATATTGTAATTTTCTTATGAGAATTATATTTGTGTCAAATCTTACATGTATCAACTGTTAGTTAGCTTTGCCGAAGGAATTAAATAAAATTCTTTGCTGTTCTTTAACATTAACCATGTGGAAGCAGTTGGCCCACAAATCGACCAGTTCAGTTATACTAGAGTTCTAGGTCAATTCAGTCATTTATTGAATTACATGATTTTTACAGTCCGCCTAATGTTTAAATGTTAGCATGTGATGAATTCAAAATCCATGGATCTAAAAAGACTTAAAAAAATTGATGTACATATGGAAGAAGAAAATTGATGTACATATGGAAGAAGAAAAAGTTGCAAGTTACACTCGTACATTGATAGCTGTAAGTTCAGTTTTAACTACAAAGTTTTCTTTTGCTTTGTAAAGTGAAAGATTGTCAGTGTATTTTCATGTAGGTCTGAAAATGCATTGAGGGAAAAGGAATTCACAATGTTCTAAAACTGGAGAAGTTGAGAGTCCATTATAGTTAGATGGGGTTCGGCTGATACTGATTTTTTTGTAATTTGAAGATGTTTTTATTGATTCTTTGTGAATGTCTTGATAAGGGCAAACGAGTTGAAAACCATTATGGTTTATTGCCATTGACAAGGAGAGCACAGGCTCAGTAATGGCTCCTCCAAGGAAGGTCATTTGAAAAGATATGGAAATGACCATCCGCCTTGTACAGCCAATGGGCATTCCTCACATGTGTACATGTATCAGTGTGCATCCATTGCATGCTCAATTTGTCCGGTGTTGAAATAGATATTGCCTATGTCTCAAGGCTGGTGCAGGTGTGGTCTACTCTGCTTCTATGGTCAAACTGTTGCCACTTACAAAACAGGAAGACAAGATTGTTTATTGGCAAGTTTTACTGAAAGGAAAATATCAGCGGAATGACCATTAGTTACTGAGTCTGAGCTAGGGTCAGGTTTATGTGCACTGTGGTTGGGAAGTTATTTGAAAGTCAGTCCTTGTAATTCAGTATGCCTGTCAATGATTGAAGGATTTCAACTGAATAAACAACAACTTGCTTTATTGGTTTTTTAATATCAAGTGGTGTAGATTGCAAATAAATGACTGTTGTTTGGCGTTGTATAAGTTTATTTCCTCAGTTCATGTTTCCTTGTAATTGTAAGGAATGTGTTGTGGGGACTCCACGTTGGTCTGCTAGCTAATCCCTGCATTAATATGAACCAGACAATACTTTGAAGTCAGCCGTCTTGTTAATGAAAGCAAATAGGAAATGTTGCAATCATTAAGTGATGGCATAGAGCATGGTGATAGTGATCAGACACAGAGGAAGAACCCAAAGGAGGACAAAAAATAAGCAGCTGTAATTCAGAACATCATGGCAATTAGCATAGGCCTACTTTTGTGCTAGGATTGTACCAAATAAAAGGATGATGCACCATCCAGGCATCCCCTCATCCCTACTCCACACACTTTGGTCCTGCCCCTCCCTGTTTAATCCCTCTTTTGTGTGTCTCCTTCCACCCCTGCATATTTGTGTGTCCCATACTTGTTTGTTTCAGTACCTCTGTCATTTTGCCTTTAGGTCCTGCCTGACTGAAACATTAGGCTTGCTAGCGCTAATTTGAGTTGTTAGGATGAAACAGTGTTAGACTGTAGCGCCTACTGATTGATTGACTGGTGTACATCAACACAATGAGTGATAAATGGATCGGTCTAAGCCTTGTCAGTACATGCACAACAGATTATCACCACATTATCACACAGGGCCAATGATAAATAAACAGCTGCAACTCTAGTTATGGAGGTGTGTACTGAACTCAACAAGTTCACATTCTTTGAAGTCAATTTTTATGATCTTCAGCTGTCCAACAATCAAGTGAATTCTGGCTAAAAATGGAATGTCATTCGAAAAATGTGAATTGTTAGTATAAACTTAGATTGTTTGGAAGTTGGAGCCCCCATTTGACTTCTATCATTTCAGTTGGAAATATTGTCTTGTTGACTGATACACCAGAAAAGTTCCCATACTAAATGTGATGTGTGATATATGTTTTTTTTACATGCATAAACTTGTTTACTCTCAAATGATGTCCCAGAAATGAGGTTTGTAATTTCAGTAACTGGTCTGGAATTGGAAAAGAATGTGAAAGCAGGACCAATCCAGAATGTTACCAATTTACCGCATGATTTTGCACATTGAGCATTGGTGAAAAACAAAGTGACATTTTCACCACGCAAAGATTAACACACACAAATTACACGTTTGTTAAGAAAATTACAGCTTTAGGTACAAAGCATCGGTGTTACATGTCTAAAATGATTTTGAGGAACATGTGTTTCAATGTGGCTAAAAACTTAACAACTTTGTGCATCCTTCCATCACTGATCACAGTGATTTGCAGGGTTGTGTAGCATCAATGTGATGTTGTTCGCCTCGGTAGGTTTCAATGCCTGTTTTCAACTGCACGGGACTGTATGAATTGGTGACAGGGATAACGTTTAGTAACAAGCAAATCACTGTAGTTTCTACATTGTCCCAACTTCATAGAATGACCCACATGTATTGTAATCATAATAAGAAAATGATAATAAATTTAACAGAGTGCACACAAGTGAGGAAGCAACAAAATAGCAGAATAAAATTGAAGCATTAAAAAAGCGCCAAAAGACAATAAAGAACACAATATATTAGAACAATTATGTACTTTTAAGATGAGAAAAGGGTGGAAACAAGGAATGCATAAAGTAGACATTTTATGAATATGAATCTGAGGAGAATGCACTCCAATGTTGACTACATGCATGTGCATGTACCAGGTGCTCAGTGGGTCAGCTGGTCAATCAATGCGCCAGCGGGACCACAATTTATGACATTTGATTGAATTTTGGTTTGTGTAATATGTATGATTGTGAATTCTGGCTTAATAACATTCTCTATTTGCTGAAACTGAATCAGCACTTACATGTAACTGTTGATATGTACATGTATGTGTGTGGTAGCGCTATGGGAAGTCTGTATCTGGGTAGATATTGACACCATGGTGGCCTTTGTAGCAGCTGGTATTTTCTGAGTCTGGCAGACCTACAGGAAATACATTGAAAAGGAATGCTTCAATTAAGATAAGTGTGCTGTTGGTAATATGGGAGGGTATGTCATATTAATTAGTGAGTGCAATTACTTGTATATTCCATGGATGTGTTCAGTGCAGGATGCACCTGTCATGATGTATCGGTGATTGTAAGCAGCTTCAGTGGGCCAAATAGTAACATGGGACTCAACATGACTGTCATTGTTGGACTAATTGGAGCTATCATTGATTCCAAATGTATAGCAAGTTAATTTATATTCTTGTTTGCACAAACCCAAGGCCGTGATCAAAGTGTTGTCATTTGATTTGAGTTGGTAATTCCAGTGGTGCCAGCCCAGCATGTCGGCAAGCACGCACAGCCAGCGTGTCACTCATTCAATTCTTATGCTATGCACTTGATACAAATCTCCAGTGATCATTACAACAAAGTGAAAATAAAAGAAACTAATATAAAGGCAACCCCAAGATTGATGTAGTGGATGCAGAGTGGGGTGTGATTTTGGCTAATTGTCAGCTTTTAAGAAATAACTGTAAAGTTTTTAGAAACAAAATGACATTGTCAAACTCTGAGAAGTTCATTGGATTTGATTATTCCTTGAATTTTTCTACGTTTGAGTTATTACTAGGTGATTATCACAGTTATGAGTGCTTCCTTAGCAATAGAGACTGAACCAGGGCTTGAAGGCTTAATATCATGTGTCTGCTAACCACAGAATTCTGGGCCTACAATGTACGTATATCGCCATTCTCTGCCTAGTGCTTGCAGAAAAATTCTGTGCCAATCCTTTGACTTAGCAGTTGGCACAGAATGCACATAAGCAAAAAGTCCTTGCTTGCCCATGATGTACGCTTACTTTAGCACTGAATTTTTGGCAATTTTTTTTTGCTTCAAAAAAGCAGAACCATGAAATTGGACCCAGGCGTCCAATGTGGACAAATACGTTTGTAATTGCCCATTTGGTGTAGGTGTAGGATTAGTAAATGTCTTTGCCAGATGTGATATAGAGATTGTAGACTTGAGTAGTTGAAACACTAGGGACTTATAAAACAGTCATCTTTTTTCCCAAGTCTGGATGCACTAAATCATCATAACTTGTAATATTATCCCATTAGGTGCATTGATACCAGCTTCATCTTTCTTGTAAACTCTCTGAATATATGCATGGTTTTAACTGGAATTCATATCATTCAAAACAAAGTTTGAAGGTGTGATTTCCTGTTACGTTGACACTTACATGTTTATGGAGTAGACTCGTGTTGGACATAAAGAAAAGGGATCCATAAACTGAATGAAAGCTACATTAACATCTGATTGACATCCACAGCAAAGTGATTCAACCAAACACTAGAAAAAAGGAAAAGTACTGGGATCACATTGTATTGACGTTCTTTTTTTTTGTACCTTGCAAACATTTGTGTTTGTACAAAAGCGTGTGCTTTTCAATTATAAAAAAATGTGTGTTTGTGGTTTTTTATACAACATAAGTTTTGTACATAAACTAACACAAAAGCTGCAAGCTGTCTGACTGCTTAGGTTCAGGACAAACAGAAAGTAAAATATTGTTGCGCAAATAGGAAGAAACAGAAAGTGATAGGCCTCATGGGTCAATTCTCTCCTTTTGTAAGAACCATAGGATTGCTGATGACTCTTATTCACAGAGATCCAAATATCTTTTGAAGGACCTAAAAAAGGAAGTGTTTTTTTATGAGCAGTCGGCATTGCTATATGGTGGAACTAAAGTACATTGTTTTGCTTGTCATCCTGTGTCAAGTGTGTGTGTTACAGAAAAGTTTTATTTATAATTAACAGGTTCCCAGTCAAAATGATGATTTTTGCTTAACAAGAAACTGTGCTAAGCAATTATCATCCCACCAGGTCCATCACATTAGGCCATGTGCTCTGTGTGGATTCAATTCTGGGATATTTCTGTATACATTTACTTGCATCCTTCTTGCAACCTGAAGCATTTTTGTGTATTCATTACCAACTACTGAGATAGAGCTACATGTAGCTAAAATGTTTTTTTTTCTTCATTTGATTGCAGCTGTAGCAGCACGAAGGAGAGAAGACATTCAGCCAACCATTACTGAGCATCCACAGAATGTTGTTGTGCCAAAGAATGAGCCAGCTAGACTCAACTGCAGAGCAGAAGGTAGACCAGAACCTAGCATATCGGTAAGTAAAGCTTACATGCATGCATAGTGTTCAAGCTGCAGAAAGATATAGCATTATTAGCATGAGTGGAAAACCCAGAGCCATACAGTCCTTCAATCAGACTGAACATTATGAAGTGCATGCTTCAGCCCATCGGGAAGTTTATGCACAAATATACTCCCTCAACTGTCAAAAATATACGTACGCTCCAGTGCTGTTACATGTACATGCAATGTGGGGATGTACATGTATACAGGTTGTGCACATTCAAATGAAACTTGGTCGATGTAGTGTGTACTGTACCCATACATGCATGCACAAGAACACACCGACTGATGTCAAAGTTACTTTCTGGTCAAAAGTCACCACAATTTGGTCCAAATTTTCCTTAGAAATAACTCTTCCAATAATAAGTTGGCCCCAATCATGCCAAGTGTGTATGCACTTGCAGACCTTCGTGTAATTTTGGTGATACATCGCCCTGTATTGTTCCCTGCATAGAGCCATTGGACATACACTTGAATGTAGACAATACAAAATTTACGCATAGTCTTTGTGTAATCACCATGTTAATGAAATAACTAATAAAGTAATATTCTTTATGGATAAAAAGTGTTACATGTATCTTCAAAGTTTAAGTAGTTTTGGAACTGAATTGACGTGAATAAAGAAAAGTTTGTAATAAAAGTGTGCATAAATGTAGGAAGTAGTGTTACAATACGTACATTTACCTCATTTTGCTAGAATTTAGCATCAAATATTCACACTGAAAAGAATGGCATGTCTGTGGGTCTGTATAGATGCAATAAATAGTGTGGTTTCCTGTTGCTAAAAGCAATAAAAATCCAACAACTGTTGCAAACAGTTGTGACCAAGCAGGCAAATCCTTTGAAGTGTCTGAATTTCATGGGGTCAGCCAGGCAGTGTGTGATGCTTGATGCTGAGTGTTATGGTGCCACACAATCAGTTCTGCCCATTGGCGTCTGCTGGACTTTTTGAAGTAAATTGCTGGCTATTATGTATAAAAATAATGGGAGCACCTGCTAGCATTAATAGCAGTGTGACTCTGTCGGTATGTGTATAGGCTGACATTGACTGCATAGAGTCAGATGGGGCTTATAATGAGCAGTGTTCCTACAGAGACCCTTTCTAATGCGCAGGGGATCTGCCATTAGACTCATACAATGTGACAAGGCCAATGCCAGAGTCTTTTTACAAGCCTGCCTAATTTTTTTTTTATTAAAACCTGACAAAGTTAAAGGGACAGTAAACAGTTTTGTTTGGAGATGGTCTTTAATTTCTTTTTTTGTAAGCGGAGTCAGTTAGACTTTAATGTCATTGAATGCTGCAGTTGATGTCCAAAAGTTGGAACATCAAGCCCTATCCTAAGTAATTGTGCCTGGGCTGTTACAGTCCTGATGTACTGCTAAAAACAACATATTTTGAAGTTTTAGCGGTTGTTCAAGTTAAATTTGAATCATGTCAGTATCGTTATCACAAGTTCAGAATAGCAGTATAACTTTTACAACACTGGTTGTGATTCTCTGCACTATTTGTCTTCCTGAGAAATCACTTATTAATATTCAGACGTTACAGTCAAGTTGCAATATTGTCAGCCCATCAGTAGCAATTTTTGGTATTTGTGTGTCTCTTGAGTTGAACTTGAAAAGGTTATGTTTTGACTGTGATCTTATAATTGCTTTTCTAAGAAAAAAATCCTTTGTGACAAAAAAGAGGCATTTATCTATCAATTGACAAAGGACTGGCATCAAGCTGATGTATGGGATCAATATGGAGGTTGTTGTCTTGAAGTGAGCAAGGTCTGAGTCTTGCTGTGTGCATGCATGGGGTCAGTCCCAAACGTGTCAGACATGCTAGGAGTGTGGCAGGAGCGTGAAGCCCAGCTTGGTTGGGGTTTGTGGAGGTGTCGGGAGTAAGGGGCTAACATCTGGGATTTACAGCAGGAGTTGGCTGGCTGGACAGCAGGTGTTACACATCCACTTCCTGTATTTCACTAAACAACATGCCTCATGGAGGACATACACAGACCCTCTACTGAGCCTAATAAGTAGCAAAGGGAACGCTCCATGGTTGGATTTTCAGACTGCCAAGCTCCAGTTTTGTTCCCAAGGAATAAAGAGCAGGAAATAAGTTGCTATAGTAAAATGCTGACAGTAACGGTCATTTTCAAATATGGGAAAAACAACTGTGATAGATGTGATCCAAATAAAACTTGGGGCCACATGCTTCAATTTGTATTGGTTCCAGTGGTTTTTGTGTGATGATTCCATCTGAAGATGATCTCCCCTAGGCTACAGCACTACAGCAGTCCTGAAGCCCATCAATATTTGTAGAAAACAGGATTCCTGCTCAATAGCAAAATAGAGTGCATAGTGCCCAGTTTTATCCAAATATCTCTCAAATATTATTTTATGTTCCTAAATATAAGATGTGGGATTTGCTTACGTTTTGAAAAGGGCAAAAAACTCTGAAACCTTCAGCGTGAAATGGAGGGTATAAACTGTGATTTGGTCAGTGTGGGCTATGTTAGGTCTGTTTCCTCGCCTTCAACCCTAGCTGACAATTTCTCAGACATTTATTTGATCGTTTCCATTCAGCCATGTTTCCTATCTGACATGTGTCTGTGTGCGTGTATGAATGGTGGTTTGTTGTTCTGACAAGTGTGTTTAAACTGTCATGATGAATTTCCAGTGTTTGCTTTCAATTTATTTCTCGGCAAATTGCTGTTTATTCAGCAGTCTCACTTCAGTTATTAGCGATATGCAATTAGCAGGAAGACATTCAATTTATGCTGACCATTGCAGGCTTATTATTATTAATTCATTACAGACATTTGAACAGTGGGTGTCAGTCCATGCATTAATTGCAGTCTCTCAGACTTTTTTAAAAGAAAACATTCCAGTATTTTCCTTCAACAATTATGCCTATTAAATTTTAACTGCCTTGCCCCTCATTATTTGAACAATGAGAAAATTACGTGTAATTGATATTTCAGGGATTTCTTTTTTAAATTGTATTAAAAAGTATACAACCTTGTGTGATTGATGTTTCAACATGTTTTTCTTAAAAATCCCACATCCCCATATACATCTAATGCATTGAGATGTATTGAAAGATTAACGAGGTAATATATTTGAGTGATGCACTATATGGGAAAGGGTTAGAGTCAATGATAGAACGCTGATGATACAACACCTTTACAAATCTTCTCGGCTACATAGCCCACGACAGGCATCTCAACTTGGCAAAATATTTATGCAGATTGATGTAAAGGGTAAAATATGAAAATATACAGGAAGGTTGTGGTGGGGTTAGAATAACAGTTGGAGTGGAAGGTTAGCCCTGTGAAGTGGGATGGATGCTACAAAAGGCACTTGCAGTAAACACTCCTGGCATTCAGTACATCATAGACACTAGGCTTTGACATTATGTGACTTGTCTTAAAGGTTGACAGAAATAAGTATAGGGAAAATGCCACAAATTGCATGATCTGTATCAATGAAGAAGACAAGATGTAAAGTTTTAGGACTGTTTTGTTAGTAAGTATCAAGACTTGCTGTGAGAAATAAGTCCTTTGTAACCACCCTCAGAAAACTCTTTCTGTCCGTGATACTGTCTTGGAAAACTCCAAGCTTTCCTGCCCTTGTAAGCACAAACATCATGATTTTTGTACACAGTGCTGGACTTCAGGGCAGACAAGCTGTGTGTCATTATGCTGATCATATTACAGACCAAAAGTGGTGTGTTTTTTGGGTTACATTAGGACAGATTTGTCCATTTCAAGTTTCCCATTAGTAGAAATTTTCATATATCTTTAAACCCTTTATCAAATGGATGCCAATTTGTTTTGCAGCTTTTCTGCATGAGAATCCTTTGTATAATATGCAAAATATAAGAAACATGCATGCAAGAAGATTCAGGTAAATGTAACTGGAAAAAAAGGTAAGATTCCCTGTAACAGATAGAAGTTGGCGACACTTTGGCTATGAGAAATAGTTTGCTCAGACTCAAATGTTGGCTCTCAAGTGATCTGAGTGAAATTGAATGATTTTCCGTGGGTATTTTGTTATTACAACTGCTGACTGTAATTTACTGATATTGCCAAATGACAATGATGACATTGATCATGACGGGGCTAGAGAGTGCCTTCACATGATAATTCTAGAAAGTGTACATGTATGCACATGACCCACTAGTTCTCAACCCTCTTGTGTACATAGCTTAGGCCTACATGAGTTCAGTTGGAAACAGTCATCAACTGCACTTGAAACAAAGTCTTTTTTAAACGCAAGGCATTGACATGTACTTCAAAACTTAATACATGTATATCAGCCTGTGATCAGTAAAAAGCTTCTCCCTCTTCAGTGAGCTGGCCTGGAGGTTTTTGACTTGGAAATAGTTCAAATCATCTGATTTGCATTCATTCATTTGCGCCACATTTTATGGATTCTTTGATATCGTACGTACATCCATGGTAAAGTGAATTGGGGAATTCATGATTTTATTCTTTTATACCACAACTTTAACATATTGGTCACCTATAGGGCCTACTGCCATAGCACTTTGATCATCAAGAAATAAATGCAATATATACAATGTATTGCAAGTGCATATGGGTCAAAACGGAATTCAACAGCTCGTCTTCACAAAATGATTTCATCCTTTCCTTATTTCTTCATGAACAACAGGTCAAGTTAATGAGTAATTGTTTACAGATACTTGCTTCTCTGTCAGATTAATGATTGTTTTTTTACTCTTACAGTGGCTAAAGGATGGCTACCCAATGGACATGTCGACAGGCAGTAGTCATATCACACTCCTGGATACTGGCGCTATGTTGTTCCTCAGTGTCAGTAGGTTGGATGTGGGCACATACCAGTGTGTAGCAGAGAACAGGGCTGGTGCTGCACGCAGTAATAACGCTACCTTGGAAGTTGCATGTGAGTATTCCCTGTGGTCACTTTTTCAAGTGTATGCAACAGTCAAAATGACACATACTGACTTCTGAACCTTGAAATTGATTATTTATCAGGAGTTGAGTCTAAAAATATGACATCAAATGTTTTTGAGACATTGTGGCCATGTAACCCCAAAGTCCCAGACATTGACACTGATCCACAGCTTAAAAAAGCTTCAGAATTGTATCGAAAGTTTCATAATTGTGAGCATATCAGAAGATATTCTGATTTCGTAACATTTTCCAACAAAAACTAATTGATTGCAGTAATACTTACCTTATTGGTTTACAATGCGTGTGCCAAGGAAAAGGACATAAGCAGCCCAGGCAAGCCAACAACACTTTTGGAGATAATCCAGTCAAAACGTTATGTGCTCCCCTTTCTAAATTAAAAAGCACATAAGGCTGAAATGTTGACTCATGAAATTTGTTCATTATTGAAATAATATTGTGCATTTTTGTTTCAAAGTATTACTGAATTTTGAAGTTATTGACATTTTTGTGCTAACGACCTTTTACCGGGAATTCCCCCTGCCTTAAACGTGCGCTTATGCGGCATGTTAAATCATAACGACCTTTTGCCGGGAACAAAAATGGATTTGGGTACCCACTTTGGTGGGACGTTAGCCCACTTATCATATGCTAATGTCAGTTAGTATTACATTAGTATTACACGCCTCGGAAAAATAATAAAAAACATCCTTCCGTCTTTTTCATACCGTTAATTACTTCAGAATGACTTGGCCCCTTGAGACAACATGTATATCAAATGAAAGATATTTCCATGCTCTATCGATTACCAGAAAAATCCAAATTTGACCTGTTGACCCATTTTTTAACGATGGTCTTCCACGCACCTGATGAGTGGCCAGCAAACCCGTAGAAGCTCAGTGTTGGAATGGTTCAGATATCTTCCCTAGTGAGCAGAAAACATTGGGTTTGAGTCCCATCTGAGCAAGCTGGTGAAATACTTTTTTTCGCAAGCTTTTTGACAACACTGTAGAGCTTTATAAAGTTGCGTCAGTGGAAGACAAAGCCAGATAGTGAAACATGAAACTAACCACAGGTCTGTGTGAGACTAGGAGGCTGCCAATTTATTGGAGTTATTACGGGGAAATAACATGATGGAGCAGTTATAAACGTGTATAAAAACCAGCTAGGGGTCGGTTGAAAGTGAGGGTTATTATATCCCCCTTTCGATCAAATTCCATGAACAGTAAATATATCACAGCGATATCACTCCTTGTTCAGATCAGGCCACTTTTATGGTTTGCTACGGACACATGTGCTCAACATGGAGATGATATCAGTGTTTCTCAAACACTGGGCTTAAACATCACTGGGTATAAAGCTGTTAAAGATTGGAAGGTTTGCATGGTGAAGAGAGCAATAAGATTGACTTTCCAGTTTCACCATGTAACAAATCTCTTTTGTGAGTTTGAGAGGTTCTGAGAAGAACCAGGGAAACTCAACGTTTCGAACAGTATCCTCCGATAATAACCACCCTTCACCGTTGGAATCCCTCAGTCACTTAGAGCATACTTTCGTAACGTTGAGTCCCCCCTTCTTTTCAGATCCTCACAAACTCACAAAAGAGAAAGACAGCCATGTACATCAAAATATCAAACAGACCAATCGGCAAGATACATAGGTTAGGCTACTAGTGTTATTGGCAATGTTAAAAGGCCACAGCCTGTTGCAGGTCAAACAGCTTTAATCCTTTTGGCTACAAATCTTGGAGATTAACTGGCTTATTGGATACAGTTGAACTGTATGACATGTGTTTGAGTGTCTGAGAATGAAATCAAGAGCAGATCTGAAGGGCCTAAGCTTGTTGCTATTCAAGAGATTCCTGATGGTATTTACAGCTGGGTAATGGCATCCTATCCAGTCCTGGCTTTGGATGATGCTTTACCATAGTGCTAGGAAACAGAAGGAATTGCTGCTGACAAATTGCAGCGAGTTTCATTGGTACACGAAGCATGACATGACATTTAGAAGCTCATTGATATGATGGGGAAAAGCTATCATTTTCACACAATAATCTTCTCTTCTTGGTAAAATTAGGGACACTTAAGTAAAAAAAAAACTGAAATGAAAGTGAAATGGGAATATCATCACTTTTTTTGGGGGGGGGGTATTAACTAAACACAAATTCTGCTGGACCTATAAGTTTAGTTTCCTAGTCCAAGGAAACACAGTTGTTGTACAAAAGGTGTTGCTCATGGCAAGGTTTTGTGTTTGTCAATACATCAGGGAAAAGGATCACTTAAAAAAGAAATGATTGAACTGCTGGCAGAACTGTTACAGTTATTTTCAATTTGTATGGATAAATTCCATTTACAAAGTTAACCTTTACTTTTTCAAAGTCAATTGATTTGCAAAAAATAAGCAGGAATTGTGAACATTGCATGTGTGAGTGATCACTATTTAAATTACAATATTTTTTTCAACTATTAACACAGTTGATGTTTTTACTTGTTGGTGAGTGATGATTGTGCATGTATGGGCTCCTGAAAGTCTTTAAAGAAATGCTAAGCGTGGAATGAGTGGATCAAGTTGGAGGCAACCTTTTTTTGCACAGCAGTGGAATACCAGAAGTACGTACCGGTCCATGAACAGCATTTTATAGAAATAGGTATCTGCACATGGATCTGCAATTAAATTCCAATCTGAATTCTTGGGACCAGAAAAGTAGTAAATACCTGCTCTTGAACTTTAGATTTGGCAGGATTATCTAGACCATCTTTGCTAGTGAGGTCTTGAATAACCAATTAGGTAGGGTCTAGGGTGATAAAAGTTGGTTGGTTTGTCTCCAGGGGCTCGTCTACAGGCTAGGATGTCAATCACCAGCATGCTGCAATGGTTCCCTCATGATTACTGACTAGGTCAACATTAGGATTGGTTCACTTGCAGCTAGACACATGGTCCTGTCTGGGCTAAAGAGTGTGCATTGAGGTGGGTCATGATAGCTCAGAGGGACAAGCTAATAGCTATCCCAATAGTCTGCTTGTCTGATTGCATCCTATTATGTCCATTTACACATTACGAGTAAGGCTTTGAGTAATTGGTGTTCATTAAGTGTTAGTACAGTTTTAAATGCAGAAATCTGTAGAGTAGTTGAAGTGGTTTTGATTAGAGTTTTAAGAAAGCAAAATTGGTTAAGTCAGTGTAGAATTTGGTACAAAGCCAGCCTTGATCTCAGCACATACATGTACATTGTACAACATGATGAGATTTTAGAGCCAGCTCTGAAAACATCTCTCAATAATGATAGCTAAGTAACTGACAGTGACAGTGCTAGTGTGGTAGGTTTCTCCATGGGCAGACATCATGTACTTGTTGGACAGTAGGAGGGTTTCAGGTTGTTTTGATTGAATTCTGTCAATGCCAAAGCGTTTATTTCTCCATGGGTGCAAGTTGTAGGCAGGATTGCCCTACTTTGCCTGGTATCTGTTTACTGTTTGTCATGTCAATGCAGTGTTCATAACTCAGTGTGTCCCATAATCCTGAATTAGGCTTCCTGTCTGATGAGCAAGCACTGCGATCGCTCACTCTTTTCTTCTTAACTCTGTATACTTTGCTAATTGTGTTTGTGGCTTGAGCCTCCACTTTTGCTATTCAGAGACTTAGTTACAAGGTTTCTTGGTTTGTGTTGGATGCAATGAGGCAGAAGTAGCTGAGAGCTTTAGGGTTATTGAGCTAAATGGAGCAGTTGTGTGAAGGCTGGTATTGTCTTGTCATTCTTGGAAGGCTTTGTGGTAGTGTTTGTGTGGTTTGTTAGCGCTGCATAGCCCCACCAGCCTGATCAATAAAGCTGGCCTGGCTCCAGACAAGATTGGCCTGTATTGTATCATCCTTCCCCCTTTGCATCAACTGTCCACTTTCAGGGATGTTATTCAGTAAATTAGCACCCTGGAAATCCTGTGCATTGAGGGCTGACAATACTCAGCAGGGTGCCAGTCTTGCTGTATTCAGGGAGGTTTACTCACACATGCCTTCTCTCTTGTGATAAATCAAATACTTTGCTGGCAATCAAATCAGTGTCAGCCTACAGACATGATGGTCAGTAACAAGGTAGGAAACAAGCTTGACTTGTTAGAAATAGGATTGCTTGGCAAGCTGTCATCAGTGGGAGTGGCATTATTCCAATGGAATGCTCTTGATGAAGCTGTTTTTGCACTGGACCTTTTAAGGGGGGGGGGGCGGCAACATTTATCATTTTTATCATTTCTTAATTTTTTTTCTTAAAACAGGGTCCATGAGATGACTTTTTCTTAGGAACACATTTTGTGCAACTTTCTACTCCAATTCTAAAATGTATGAAAACTATTTGACAATTTTGGTTATCTTTATTGAAAAGGTCACTTCTTCAAACATTTTTTAAAAATCTGTGCTTTTCCGGACAACCGAGGGCGCTGTTGCTGTCATCTCATTTCAGGAAGACACTGTTCAATTTAGGGGTTTTCTTTTCAAATTGTGAATCCCAATTTTTTTTTTCATTGAAAACATTTGTGAGAAAAGTCTGCTCACTAGCTTACTGCCATGTACTGACAACAACAAATTTGCAAAGAAAATACAATTTACAACAGCAAAATATCCAAAATTCTGGCAACTTTTTGTGCTGAAATAGCAGTGTAACATCGAGGTTTCTGCCTAAAAAAAAGTAAGTGTTCTTTCAGCAAAATGAAAACAATTCACAAAGGGATGTACATGTGTGAATTGTTTTCATTTTTCAAAAAGAACTCTTACCTTTTTTGTGATCCGTGGACAGAACTTTAAAATGGTGTTTGTATTCCAATTCCGTAACTTGAAAAGTTCATGAGTGATTTGAATGATTCTTGTACTAAAAGAAAGCTTATTAATTGGGCTTTCATATCCTAGATTTTGAAAGTGCTGCATGCAGAACTTCATTAAATAAGTTGTCCTGCCATTTGGGTTTCCTTTTTTTTTGACTCCCCTTGTATATTATGTGGAATGCAATTGTACTCATTTAACTACAGTTTTTAGGCAGTGTGAAGACAATATCAGAATAATTGGGTTCAACATGTGTGAACTTGTACTACACTGCAATATGATGGAAAGTGGAATTGGATGGGCTTGACACTGCTGCATGGAAATTGTAGTGGACTTGCATGGCATCTGTAGGGAGCATTAGTTGGAGTAAGTTGAGCATCGGGTTGCAAGACCTGTCAACTCACAGGTCCCTTCTGGTAATCTCATGTCTTTATCAAAGCCCACTGGCTTTCTCAGTTACCTTGATTTCAGAAATGTCAAAGTGTGGCGCTTCTCTTTGAGTTATTGGATGTGCAGGTGTAGACAACACAAAAAATGGACAACTTCACTCTCAACAAAAGTGCATGTAAATGTACCGTACATTGTACATGTGTATACTATGTATACATTGGAAAACTATAGAATGCTTTAAATGGATACAATTTATCCAGATTTTTGACCCTTGAAATTTGCAACAGCTCTCGGATTACAAATGAAAATTTGGAAAAAGGCATCAATTAGGTTCAGATATATTGTTGAAGGAAGTTAAGTTATAATGGATCATCTAGCTTTGATTTTTCAGTGTATTGAGTACGAAAAGTATTTCAAGGTTGATATGGCAAACACAGAACAATGATGTCCAGTAGTATGAACACAGTTTTAACCCTAACAGAACTCAACCCATCAAACCCCAATGGCATATTTTGTTGGAATCTGTCAGGATGGGTACAGTACCCCTAAACTGACAGTCTTTTACATTGGGTTGGCACACCTCCAGAATCAAAGTCAGAAATATGTGTGTGGAGTTTCGGTATTGGAATTTGCCAGGATGGGTATGGTTCCTAGGAAATCGTGCTAGGGAGCTTGTTAATTAATGGAATAAAACAGAATAATGAAAAACATCATCATCTGCAAGTGAACAAACAAAGTTAGTTTATTTGGATGTGAACCAGGCAGAATGTTAGCTGGTACCCATAATTGAAACTACACTGTGATACCAGGCGCTTGATATACATGAGATTATATGAAATTTGATCCCAAGCTGGTTCTCATGCTTTCTCCCGGTCCCCCTGGCATTGACTGGCATTGATGTGCATCCAGCACTGACCTGTTCTATCCAACACGTATTATAGATGACACTCTATCTGCATCCACTAAGTCGGATCACTTTAATTCCAAATGGTGCATCTCAGATGAAGCTTTCTCTCTTTTCTGTGTGTGAAAAGCTTAAATGACATCAGAAATTGGATATAGATTCAAAATTCAATCTCAGAACTGCCGTCAAAGTGCCGACCCAACCGACAGGAAACAACTGCGAATATATTAGTTTGTCTTAGTTTCAGTTGGTACTTTGAAAGAGCAAGTGCATTAAGAGATTGCCGTGAGACAGATGGAAGACATGTCAAGATGATAATGCTCCACTACAGTCCTGTCTTAATTGAATTGCTCAACTCACAGGCGATTGATTTCGTTAACATATCCCTCTTGACTGAATTGACACATATTGAAGGTGTGAGGTACATACAGCCTTGATATTTGTACAAAAATACTGAGATCTTTGATGTGTCTTGCCTTGTGCTAGGGCACTGTGTTTTCTTTCATACCAAGTTTCATCTGTCGTCTCCTAGTCCACAAAGCTCTGAGATAACTCCTAAATGAACAAAAGGATTCAGTCTTATACCCTGTTGCCTACAAATGTTACTTGTTTCCCTCAGGTTATCTAGTGCAAAACACTCTTACCTTTGCACATGCCCAATTTGTATGCAGTTTCAAAACATGTCTTCCTGCACTAGAACACAATTTGAATGACTTTTCCATTGGATCAGGAATCAGGAAATAATCACCATTTTGTTAAATAGATGCAAAGGTTTTGCCCTTCACCGACATATAAACACTGTATACTCAGTGCATTACCTCCCGAGTGAAAGTTGGAAAAAATCACTTGGGTGGGACTCAATAGTTTTATAGTTTAATTGCGGTACCTGCTGCTACATGTACATCAGATTCAAACAGCCAACTGATCCCGCAAGCTCGGTGGTCGAGTTGTAAGACGTCTGCACTAGAAAGCAGGAGGGCGTGAGTCCCACCCGAGTGATTTTTTCCAACTTTCACTCAGGAGGTAACACACTGAGTAGTCAGTGTTTATACATCGATGAAGGGCAAAACCTAATATTGATTTACATCACACAGACGTTAATTCATCTTCTGAATGGTAAAATAGATGCAGTGAAACAGTTGATACACAACTGTTGATTTTGATATTTTGAACTGTCGTATCATACATGTATTTACCTTTAAAACTACATGTAAGGTTCCTTCCAATGTCGAGGACAAAAACTAGGAAATACTTGACAAAGTTTTGAAGCATAAATTGTACTTCCTTGAATCATGAAAACAAATGAACAAATTGATAGCCTGCAGATGAAGGATTGTAACATTGTGACAAACTATAATAAAAGCTATTCCAAATTTGGACTTTTGTAGTTTTACGGGAAGAGTTCCGTACGGATCCATCTGACTCTGTGGGTCTTGCTGGTGAACCTGTGGTGTTAGAATGTCAACCTCCAAGAGGCTACCCAGAACCCACCGTCACCTGGAGCAAAGATGGAGAAGATGTGATTGTAGATGGAGACAGAGTCAAGGTTCTACAAGATGGAAACCTTATGATATCACAGGTAGGAAACCAGTCTGGATCCTGCAGGGGAGGGGGTGGGGGAACTAGCGTACATGACATGTTTGTCAATCTTGTTATTAAATAATCTTGTTATTAAATAATCTTAATGCGGATCCCTCCCCCACCTTCATGTTTGAATGGATGAGGAGCTGTATTCACAAGGTCCTGCTGTCATCATAAACCATAGACTGTGTAATTACTCATGTAAATCCCTCCATGAATTCTTGGATACACGTAAACAGTTAAATAATTCTATGTCTGTCCGGAACCGCCACTATACCTCTAATAAATCATTGCCGTTGTGCACCTGATAAAACAAGCAGCCTGCTACACCTTGGTCAAGTAACGGCCTCACTGTTGTTGTAAAGGTGAAAAACATAGAACTTCATGCACACTGGGGGCAAGAGTAGTGATGATAATTACATTGACACCCATCCCAAACTGGTGTTCCAGAGTTTTCTTGGGCCAACTTAGTCCATAGATTTGAATGAAGTAAATGAAAGTGTGGACGTTTGAAAGAGTTAGCAGTGACTGCATGCTAAAGATTGACTGTTGCAGTTAAATAGAGCCACTGTAAAATGTCAGTTTAAGGTATAATACATGTGATCAGACCAAACAAATTGAGCTCAAGATTCCAAAGTTAGCTTTGAGTTATTGGAAGTCTTGCACAATGGAAAATCACCAACAAAATACCTGCATATTAAGAAGGCAAACTACCCACCCTGTGTGAAGATTTGACTTCGTGAAGTTAGATTTTTGGGCCAAAAGTTGGTGTTTTTGATGACCGCGGATATGGAAACTTTTTGGATTTTGGGAAATTACCGAATGATTAGCACAGTATGGTTTCTGCACTGTATTTGAGAAAAATAGTGAAAGAAGTCCTTAAGACTCATTTCGTTGGATCTGGTGATATATGGTATTTGTTCAAAAGTTTTTACCTGGATTTTCTTGTAAAGTTTTGTCAAAATGGATGCTTAATTGGAGAAACAGAAGTAGTGTCGATGGAATATGATGAGGTACATTGCATATTGGTTGGATTGTGTTTGCTATCACCAGGCTAGACGGACTGACACAGGCAGCTATGTGTGTATTGCAACCAATTCCATCGGCACAAGACAAAGTCCACCAGCAATACTCAATGTACATGGTAAGTCAAAATCACACTACATTTTTACTTCAATAATGTAATGATGTAGGTAATACTTTCCTCGAGGTATTATTTGTATATATGAGCATGGTCGTTTTGTTTTTTGTTTTGTAACTTGGCAAGTCACAATTTCCGCTTTTTAGATTAAAGGTTATCAGGCGGCATTTGATAAAGTGTAAAGCTTTTATACAAGGGACTGTGCCATAGGCTCTTTGTTATTTAAAGAAACGAACAAAGACAATTTTAGAACTTGGTGCGAGACATTAAAGGCGTTTTCACACTATCTTTTCAAACACGGGTCTACAACTGGTCAAATACTAGTCCACAAGGCATACCAGTCACACTTTCACCAGCAATGTATACGGGTCAAGCATACTTCTTTCTCTCTCTTGTTTTGGTTGGAACGGATAAAAATGACTTAAGTCCACCCTGGGAGGTTAATGTTTTCTGTAGATACAATGACAAACTGCTCAGTGAACAGAAAAGACTAAATTCTGAACTTGTGTCTTTACTTGAACTGTACAGAACATGAGCCTTGACCGCTTCATAAAAAATAACACACTCCAATCCCAAGTGCTTAAGTTGAAATGCCTAGCTAAGAAGCCTAAGAAATATGTAAGGGTCAAGAGTTGATGGTCTTTCAAAAGGAATTTCTCCAAATTAAATTCCAGGTCAATTCTAGATAACTTTTTAATGTGGTACTACTGTAGTGAGTTTGGGAAGTACCACGGTTAAAGCAAACCAGATGAAGGCTTTTCCTTCATTGATATTTGAGGCCAATTTCAGGGAACTGTTCAGTACAGTTAAGCAGGCAAAATATTGGCTCAGCTAAACAGCATGTTGGATCAAAGGGTTCCCCAAATCTCAGTCATCGATTGGGATCCAACACGGAGATTTTGGACAATGTGAAAGGACCTTATACTTGAGGAAATAATTGACAGATGTGGGGCACTGAGAACTCTTGTTAGGTATTCTCGAATGACCAGTTGTTGTGTTTTTCAGTAATGGTATTTTGTCTGCAAGGAAGGGAGGTGCAGGCAATCCTTGTGTTATTCTATTACCCTTGAATCCCTACAGATACATTGTAGCTTGTGGTTTTCTGCCCAATGTGACCAAGACTAAACATGGACACGCCGAAAATGAAAGTGAAACCTGAATAATCTCCAAGTTGCTTGTGTTGAAAGTATTGTATTTTAATTGTATTGTATTTTTTTGATTACTGTACTGAGGGTAGATGTCATTGTTGCAATATATAATTTCCTACAGAGATGTGTCACAGTTTTGTTTTGCTATTTTCTCTTTCTTGCACATAGCACGTCCATCTTTCACCAGACCCGTGGAAGATCGAATTATTGCTGCACCTGGGGATAATGTGAATCTGTTGTGTGTTGTAGAAGGTGACCCTACCCCTAGCATTACATGGAGGAGACAAGATGCAGACATGCCACAAGGAAGGTAGGTACTTGACCCTAATACAACCAGGATTGGGCCATTTTCAAGCTGGTTTGATCAAGTTAAATGCTGTGACCAATATGGTTGAAATTTGGCATGCAAGTGCATGGGCGTCGCGAGGTGGGGAGGCAAGGGGGGGCGCTTGCCCCCCTCTGGAAAACAAAACACACCAAAAAAAAGGAAGGAAAAAAAAGAGAAAAAAAGAGGCGCGAGTCATAGTGGTGTAAATTTAATGAGTTGGGGGAGGGGCAAAATGTCCCTGCCTCCCCTCTAAAACTGAGAAATCTAGAATATGTTGAGAAATACAGGAATTCTTTTGAAAAAAATATGTTTTGCACCCTCTAGAAGAAATCCTGGCGACGCCCATGTGCAAGTGCAAACATTCCTGCCAACACAATATTGAAAGTTTTCAGCTGGGAATAAAATGCTGGGGGAGGGGAGGGAGAGTTTAAAGGGGGGGGGGGGGCACGGGGAGGTGGAACATCCTCTCATTGCATGTCCGTGTTGTTGTGGGCATTGCACCTGATAAAAAATAATTTGTAAATTTGTTCAATGAGACATCAGGCATAAAATAGAATACCTAACATGTATGCATCAATCAACTTAGTGGGATAGTGCCAGTTCCAATAGTTTGAATGAATTATTCTTTTCACAGGCAACACATTGCAAAAGCATTAGTCTTGTAAAAGAAAAACAGCTTTGAACAGATTTACATCATAGAGCTGTAGGTTTTTCTATTTTTAGTTTTACAGAAATTTAGTTACTTTTGTTTATTATTAAGGACAAACTATTTTTTTTTTCACTACGACATTTAAGACCAACACATGCTAATGTCAAAATAGTTCTAATTTAACCATTGATGCATGTTTGTCTATGAATTTCTTTTAATTGTAGTTTGTTTCAAGATTTTCATACATCATAACAGATTTTAAAAGATTCTACGAGGCTTCACCTCGCCTGCTTCATGTTAATGAGTGATCGCATGCTGCATGTATAATCATCCCATGCACAACTCTTGAACACGCATACATATACAATGTACAAACCTTTACGCTTTATAGTAAAGCGGTGATGTGGATAAATCAGATTGGATAATGATGATCACTTAAGGATTTTATGCCAACTACAGTCGTGAATTTCAATATGCCAGAGGACAATGCTTTGTGTTTCCCTTTGTCCCTGTCATATAACACTCTCCCGTAGACTAAGCACATAACCGTACGATCGATTTCATCGAAAGACCCAACGCTAGGACTGAAAGGATCTTTTGTTCTCCCTTTGTGTGTCTGTCCTCTATCTTAAAGCCATACATGTGCATTTACCTAGTAAAGCGACTTATTTGAAAGAGAATTGTGGTTCTAAGATATAGAGGATGATATTATAGACCATACATGTAATTAGTCAAATCCATCGAAAGTCCATTCCAAGTCTTCAAAAGTCCATTCAGAAGTCCAGTCATATTGTTAGGGGATAAACAATAAAACAGTTTGTGCCGTAACTACAACACTACCAGAAGATAGAGGGCGCTGTTCTTTATAGATAGGCCACTTCACTTTTTAGTGTTGCAGTAAACTTCATCCTTTATTGGTTTTAGATGGTAGCTCTCATGAGTGCCACTTGGCCTAAGTATCCCATAAGTGCCTCAGTGGTCTGAAAGGAACAAAGCTGATAGGTAAAGCCACCACAAATAGTGGCATGGGTAGACATTGGAAACCATGGGTGTAAGATAAAGGAAATGTGGATGTGTGGTTGGTTGAACATGACAAATACCAGACCGTATGTGTCAACACCAAGGCTGTATAGCAGGGTACTCATCATCACAAACTCATATCAATGGCATTCACCCAGCACATTCATTATTCACAAGAATTCATTGAGGAAAAACTGCAGGCAGCTGAATAAGATGAGTCAGTGCGTTGAAGACATTGGAAGCAATGAGGTGTTTGATGAAGACGATGACAGCCTTATACTACACACTATGCCATAGGAGTAGGATACATGACTGCAGTCTACAGCTGTACTCACACCATGTATACTTACATAACCAGCCAATGCAAACACATCACCTGAGTTGTCTAAACAAAACTGTTGACACATTGCTACAGTTCAAGAGGTGGTAATATATATCCTCTTGTGGGAGTATATCTAGAGAGTAAAGTGCTCTTCAAGAGTTTGGCTTGACTTATGATTGACGTTGTGCGCTTGCCACATGACCCACACTCATCCTGGCTGGGAATGTTCATGTGTGGACCTACCGGGTAACTGTGAAATGTAGAAACAGCATCAGAGTTCACATAATCTGTCCTAAAAGAAGAGTCCCTGAACACCTACCACCAGGAAAAGAACTAGAGGCATGTCGTTAAAACTTCATTGAAATAAAAATACAAAATAACAAAAAAAAAATATCAAAAGTAATTTTGCAAAACAGATGATTTTGCACTCTCCACAAATCTGGTATCATCAGTGATGCGCTTCAAGGAACATTTAAAATTTGGCTGGGAATGGATTAGAAGAAACCCTTTGGATGTTGTGGGTGTGACTATCTGACCTGGAATCTCTCACAGTATTACAGCTGAATGTTATAAATGAACAGAGGCAGTGGCTGAAACCTATCTGACTGTTGTTACTTGAACTTGTGACCCTACCACTTACATATATCCCATAATACTTGGCCGTGGGTCAGCCAATCCTGGCTTATCAATTGAGGTGTTCACTTCCCCAATGAGTTGACGTACAAGGCCTGGTGCTTTGGCACATTACCTCTGGACCAAAAGGACAAACCTCAATATAGCCAGAAGAGCAATTGAAAAAGTATATTGATAAAGTAACCCCTACTGTACCCAGCACTGTTGTATCTTTGCATCAACTTTGGTGCAACTCCTAGCTTAAGAAACTGTCAGAGGGTTTAAATCAAATATTGTGCAAGTCGCAATGCAGGACTATGGCTCAAGTTTTTGGTGAGTCAGACTCCACTTGGGTTACCTTGACAAAAGACTCTGGGACTAGACAATCATTCTTCAGAGTTGACACTGTTAATGTGTGACTCATGAGTCACAGTCTTTTACCAACATTTCTCTTTGAGAATTTTCAAAAAAATTAAACATTTCATCTCAATTTATAGTAAAAATTAAAAAAACCCAACATTTTCAGGGGGGGGGGGGGAAAACAAAACATAACAAAAGAAACAGTAGAAACATAAACAAATAGTATGACACTAAAGCTTCTGCCCTGGAAGATAATATAAAAGTTTTAGACCAGCTGAGACTAATATCCAAATTTTTAAAAGTTCTTATTGCAAAGACATCCGGGCATTTTATTGTTTTGACACACATGTTGCTGGTGTCCGCTCAGTTAATAAGAGTGTAGAAACTCACATTTTACAATCAATCAATGTAGCTTTGCGTTCACATAGAATATGCACTGTTTGTCAACAACAGTGGCAGGTTCCAGTGGCGCGAGATGCTTCGGTAAGCGTAGAAGAATTTGACAATATTTTGAGAAGTAAAGAGGATGAAAATATATTGAAAGCAACCATGACGGCAGTAAATATTCTGCAATTGTACCTGGCTGAGAAGAATCTACCACAGAATGTTTAGATGTTGGATAAGCTTAAGCTAACAAGTATTTTGTCAAAGTTTTATGTGGAAGTGAAGAAAGCAAAATTTATTTCTTTTGGAGCAAGTCAGGCTGATGTAAATTACATGAATAACAATAATATTGGATGTTTGTTTTTTTGGGGATACATGAATATAGTGTACTCGCTATAAAAATATTGGACTCGTCCTCAACACATTCAATGTTGTTATAGCTCGTGGAACATACTGCCATCTAATGGTATATAAATATCAGGATGAATTGGAAGGTGTCAGATGGGAACATACCATAGTTCCCATATGTAGATTGAATTTCAAACATCATTACATACATACATTTATTTCCAAAATGTAATCAATGCCATTTTGTACCTTTGAGAATCTTGCCCTCTCCTATAGTTCTATAGCTTTTTGTAGCCTTGCAAGTTTTTCACTTTTTCAAATGGATATATCGTGTTTTCGAAATATAAACCATTCCTGTAGAAAATGCACAATGGAACCCATAGAAGACAATACAATCAGGCAGTGTTCTGTGCCATCATTGTTATTAAGTGGTAGATAATCACCAAGGCTTTAATTGCATCAATAGATTCTAAAAGGCCTCCATACAACAGCAATCAATCACTTAGAAGCCTTAATTGAAGCAATAGTAGAATCACTGCACTGCCTATAATGCCACTTGACTTGGTAATGGCATTTGTTAATACCAGTCATGGGTGTTATTAACATACATGGAATGGTTTTACAGTGATTTTCCTTACATTTCAATCACAGTTTACTAAAATTGAAAGCTTACGGTTTGCTTATTATACATGTACAGCCTGTCTAAAAAAAAATGGTACAATCGAAAACAATTGTTTGGAAAGCCCAGTCTTTGTTCTTTAATATTATGCCAAGTAAGAATGACTTATTTGGAAATTTCATATTTAACCAATTTTTTTTTTCTGATTGTACCATTTTTTTTTTAGACAGGCTGTACATACCTGTATGTGCACTTTGTTGTGGATTTGCATTGCATTGGATGTTCAAATGTATAAATTCTCAACTTTCATTAATTTAATCAAATTCTGCGTTCTTATTAGTTCAATGATGTACGTACAAAGTCCATATGGGAAGAAGTTGGCTGGTTGCAAACTTTTCACAAAACATGTAAACATGTACATTTTCATATACATGGAAGCATGGATGTGGAATTACTTCTAAGTATGTGTGATATGTCTCATAGCAAATATTTACAGTGAACAGAATGCAGGCCATGATTGGCAACTTTATGATCTGAGCCTGATGAATGATACTAAGCACGTGCATATAAGAGAAGCTTAATATTGACATTAATCCTCCCATGCAAACATACATTCTGTGCAAAGTTGTCCTTTCAGTCAAAATCAATCAAGTGACTGTTTTTAACAG